GAGTGCTTGCGGTGTTCGGCCAATCACAATGCACTGGGTCAGCTGGCCAATCAGAGCAGACTGCGCTTGTCGGAAGGACGGACTTTGTAGAAAACGAAGCGTTTGAGAGAGGCGGGGCATAGAGGACCTACAATAATGTACAGTATTTGAAAAATAATGTGTTTTTTGAAAATTAAAGCATGTCAACATATTCTGTTACATCAAATACACAAAATAATGATCTTTAAAAAAGCATCATATGACCCCTTTAATGCAAATCTTTTCCAAACAGCAACAGTTCCTATTGACCACCAAAAAGCACCATAAGAATGTCCATATGAGAGTGCACTACATTACACATTTCAAGTTACCATAAGTCATATGACAGCTTTGTATTATAAATTCAAGTCTTTTAGTGAGCTGGCAATTCAAGAACAGCTGTGACCAGATCATTGAGTCATTGAGTTGAATGCAAGAACTGGATCAGTGAATGAATCGTTCTTTTGAGTCTATTCTTTGGATGAACTAGACATTCAATTCACAAACAACTCAGTCTGACTTGTGAACTGGAAGAACCAGTGCAATGAAAAGAATAGACTTAATAAAAAATAATAATAATTCAATGATCCAGTTCTTGAGTTCAACTCAACTGATTCAGTTGCAGTGGTTCTTGAGTCAACAGCTCACCAGAGGGGAGGATTTCAGTAAATAATGATTTAAATTCAGTCTGTTCCTCGCTTATCACTAATGTATGACTTCAGAAGACTTGTGATATAGTGCATGAATTTCATGGACCACTTTAATTATCATTTTATGGGGCTTTTTTGTTGTTTTTGGATGTCCACACAGTCACTCTGAACATTTGTTTTTGGAAAAGAGCTGTATGTATGCTATTACTTTTTGTGTTCAAAAAGAAAATATAGCAGCATATGGGTCTGGAGAGACATAAAGGTGAGTAAATAATGACATCATTTTGATTTCTGAATTGTCTATGAAGAATCACCCAACACTGAAGCGTAGACATGTGGAAAGTCAACAGGCTAAGTCAGTAACTTGTCTTCTTAATCTTTTGAAATCAGTTAAACAAACAGAAAAGAGGAAGCGTGTGTGGTCAGGGAAGCTGCTGGATTTGTACAAGGGAAATAACTACAAACCACTGAATCACTGGGATCACTGTAAAATAAACAGCTCAGTGAAGAACACTTGAAAATTAACTCTACTTTTGTCAGGGTTGGGTATGAAGGATGGAGCGGGGACTCAATAGTGCGGGAAGATAAGGGCTTTATTAATAAAATAAAACAAAACAGACAACAAAAACTACCCCGTGGGGGAAAAACAGGCTGGCAAGACTGGGCAAGGCAGGATCTTGGCAAGACACGACAAGACAGGACACATCCAGGGAGATACGGTGACGAACTGACCCAGGACTGCAAACACAGGGAGAATAAATGGAGAGCAAATGAGGAGGGTAACGAGGGAACACATGTGGGGCAAATTAACCAATAATCAGGTAACAAGATGGGTGGGGTCAAGACAATTGACATGAGAGCACATGGCACACAGGAAACAAAGACAAAAGCCATGTGCTCACACAAAACAAAACACAAGCACATGGCCAGCCAAACAAATCACAAGCCATGTGCTTGAACAAAAAGACAGGAACACGCAGCTAATGAGAAAACTCATAAGCCGCGTGTTCACACAAGACAACAAGAAAAGCACGCGGCTGAACACAAACAGCGTGCTACACAAAACACGTGGACAGAAGAGCGCACGGCCAAGCGAACTCGAGACTGCACGCTCCCACAACAGACAGAACATGGGGCGCGAGTGTCCGGACCCCGAAACGAAAACGAAACCGAAACTCAAGACCTGAGTGCCGGGATCCGAACACCACGCTCCAACATGAAACAGTACACGCAGACGAGAGCACACGGCTCGAGCACTCTCGAAGCCGCACGCTCACATGAAAACAATGACATGACGGGAGTGTCAGGGCTCTGTCACAAAACCATGAATTACACTAGACCGAAGTGACAAAACCCTGACAAATTTAGGTGTTCCCTACCATTACAGCAATGCACCGTATCACTTTGATTAACTATAATTAAAAGGCAGGCACAGTCTTGTTTCTTCACCTATTCATGCAGATGTCTTTTTCAAATCCTAACCATGTCATTGTAGCTTTAGACTGGGGCCAAGGCTCTGAGTCATGGATAGGCTTGACACTTGCGGTTGAGTGGTGTTTTTGGTTTACCTGTTCTCACCAGCTTGTCACCACAGATATTTTAAAAGCTGTAGCTGAGGGATTTTTTTTCCCGTTCCCAAAATGTAATAGTTTTACATCTGACAAGAATAATAAAAAGCTGCTTTGCTGTTTTTTCATGCCAGTGGAGGAGGGCTGGACAATGGATTGACCTCTGTGGTCAAGGGAAAGGAAAAACACTATCACATTTTTTCAGGGAGATCATGCAGGTCAAATCATGGAGCATTTTGACTGCAATGGTAATACTGTGAATCCAGTTGATTTTCTTTTTATTATTTTACATTTTTAATTATTTTATTTGTTATACATTCCTATTTAAGTGCCCAAATGTAAATAAATAAATATTTAAATTACATTTACATTCTATTTTCTCATTTAAGTGAATGAATGCAATGTAAAAGAAAAGAAAAATACTTCCAAAGTTCATCAACAGTGTACAAAAATTATTCTGTCTTCAGGGAAAACATCCTTATTAAAAAGAGAACAAGCCAAAGTCTAATATTACATTTCAACTTTAAAAGAAAAACATTTTTTATCCCTAAAGGATTCAGTAACTCGACTAATAATACGTTTTTAGCCAAGTCACGTTGTGCACTTCACTTTGCGAAGTAAATAAAATTATTGCTAAATTATCGAATTGCAGATGGATGACCACCAAGCTGTGTTTTGTCAGATATGGTTAGTTTTTAGCTTGTGCATGAATAAGGTCCAGTTTTTATTGGACGTCTGGCACTTGTTCCACTTGAAACATAATTTACAAACACATTGATTTCTAGAAGGTTCAGTCTGATTCACAGCATTCCTCCTGGACAGAAGCCATGCTACACAAGGCACTCGCCAAGTCTGCATTCAAAATCAATTAGCTTTATCAAATCAAACTTGTTTTTGCTCAGTTGTTTTTCGTCATATTCAAGACTTTAAATAAGCAAATTCAAGAAAATTAGAAGAGATCTTTGGGCTTTACAATGAACAGCCACCAAGTGTCTTTAGTGTATAAAATGAATGTCAATTCTTTCCACTGTTGTTTTTTTTTTCTTTTTTCGATCCATTGAATTTTAATTTGTATTCTTATTATTCAAAATTTCTTAATTTGTAGAAGAAAGAAAGCCATGCAGTAATGTCATGAGGTTGAGTAAATGATGACAGATTTTGTTTTTGGGTGAAGTATTCCTTTAAGTCAGCACTTTTCATGGAAAATCCAGAAATCTAGTCCTTATGTAGAACTCCAGGCTCTTGTGCACCACATTACAGGACAAACATGACCCAAATATCCAAGGAGATGATTTTAAAAAATGGCACTAAACTTCAGAAAGGGCAAATCACCTGAGGGTGTGAAGAGAGTGTAAATCTACTGTTTTCCCAGACTTCAGCAAATCATTCGTCTTTCAGGCACATTTACAACAGTTCAGATCTCTGCACTCAACAGCTGCTCTCCTCTCCCCTTCACCCCCCAAATCCTTTCATCCTCTTTGTCTTGTTCTGACTTTTCTCTGGTGCTCACTTAGAGACATTTTTACATTAAAACAACCAGTATTAGTTGCTTACACACAACTCTTCATTGCTAACACCACTCCTAAACACATGCTCTTTCACAATTCAATGTTTTCTTTTTTTTCCCCTGATAGTGTTTGGTTTCGGGTCTCAGGGTGCATTGTGAACCTTCAGTGCTTGTTTTTACAGTACATCTGCCTGCACACGACTTGTTAAGCCGCCTTTGCCCCGCGGCAAGTTGAAGTACAGTAACAAGTAGAAGCTGCATCTGAGCCAGGTGAACATACAGACATCTCAGACTGCTGTTTCCTTTTAAGGCGTCAATTATCAATCAAGTTCATCCATGCTGAAAAAAAAAACATTTAAAACCAGCCTAAGAGGGTTTGCTGGTTTTAAATATTTTAAGATGGTCTAGAGGGTCTCCCAGCCTGATCAAGCTTGTCCTACTTGGTTTAGCTGGTCACGCAGCCTGACCAAACTGATGTTCAGCTACTTCAGTGAAGTAGAACCAGCTGAAAATTGCCCAAAACCACTCTAAAACCAGCAAACCAGACCAGCCTGACCAGATAAGTGTGTTTCTTTTCAGCAGGGATGAGAAGATACATTTTCAAAGCATCTTCACACTTGTTGAACTCAGCCCCCACCCGGTAATTTAAACTCTGTCTTGTTGTCCAGTCAACATCCATAAGGAAACGAAGTTGCCCAATGAAAGATAAACACAGAACGCTGCTGGGCTGATTGACTAGCTGTGCTGAATGAAACTCGGTACAAGAGACAGGGCACTGAGCCAGCGCAGACATTCCTCCCCTCCGGAGATGGAGGTGGTTTTTAATAGCTGATAAATGAGCGCTGATAGTGAACCGAGAGCTTGTATTACTAATGCAATAGCTAATCTAAGCACCCAGGGACGCTGGGAGCTAGAGATCTTGCAAAGATACATGCTACATACACACCTAGACTGCTGGCACTGAGGAGGCAGGCGCTGGAACATATGTAGACACACACAAAAATGCACTATGAACAGGATACTTAGGTGCAATGTATTCATTCAACAAACCCTAGAACACACACAAGCACATCAAGCACCATAATGGAATATATACAGACACACATACATATACATACACACACACACAATAAAACATTAAAAAAAAATACACCATGTGGTAACCATTATCACTCTACTGTTTCAAAATTTAGTCTATTTAGTCCAGAATATCAAAGTGCCTGGCTGGTTTCTGATGTTGGATTCTGGACAACAGCGGACAAATTGCACGTGCCTCATTTTCTTGCACCTTTCAGGCTCCAACCCCATTTTTTCCCTTTGCAGAGTTTGGCCTTACCCCAAATGTAATCATGTTGCATATAATTTCCCTAATAATCTGCTCATGCATGCCCAAATGCACCTGCAAAATGCATTGCATGTTTTTAAAAATGAATGAAAAATAAAACCAATGACTGGTTCAGGGCATCTTGCAATACAAATGCAACAGGTTAATCGTAATGAACCTTGTCCTAACCTACAACTCTACAAAAATCTTTTTAAGATTACATTACAATCCTAATTTTACAAGAACTACTGTAGAAATGCATGACATTCTGAAACACAAACAGGTGCATCACAAAAAACACACTGATCACCAAAAGACATGAGTGCCCCATACTGCAGTATGCGGCACCGTGGTGCTGAACTTGCCTCTGACTCTTTGTGCTGAGCTGCATGCGAGGAGGAGAATTCCTGCAAGCGTCAGAAGGAAGCCCAAGTGAAGGACAGTGCTGCCTGCCATGGTGCTCTGCTCCAATCGAGAAGGGATGCTGCCCGATTTCTCTAAGACTGTTGCTGCTGGTGCTAGTGTCAAGTCAGGACTTCTTGAGCTCACCGTGTGCCTCTGCTGAGTGATAGACAGTGCGAGGAGTCCTCCAGGATGTATAGTGACCAGGGAGGGAGGAGATTGCTGATGCATGCCTCAATCACACCCACCCTCACCGATCCACATACACACACTCACACAGACACACACACATTTGTGGGGGGTGAGCATGGTTTTCATTTACTGGTCTTGCTCGACCAAACGCTCTCTCACATTTTCTTCCATCAAGGATTTTTCTTTTGTGTTTGTGGGTGTGCAAGTCTGTGCTTGTGTCAGAGTGTTCCCTCCAAAATTTGATTGGACCTAGTACACAGACTTGGGGCACCCCTACAATGGCAAACAGCCCAAAGGGAGTCTGAGTTCCAAGAGGACAATGACCGATAAAGTACATAAGCAGGACATTAAATGGACAGGAAGATGGCATAAACTTCCCTTCCTCCAGTGATATTACTATGTGCATTGTGTACTATGTGCATTATTTAATATTTATATGCTGCTGTCATTCCTTTTAGTGCTATATTCTTTTAAATGAACACGTTGCAATTTTTATTATAATATATATTTTTATACTGATTTTATGGTACGTGTTTAGTTTAGTGCAGTATTTATGAGCCAGTGGAACGGAATTTCGTTCATATGTGCATTCTGTATGTACAGTTGAATGACAATAAAAAGCTACCTACCTACCTATATAACCTGGTGCAAATATAGTATCCCTCTATTTCATCATCACAGCAGCACTTGTCTATCTGTGCCCATTGCTAACCACTGTACATTACGTCTTGTCTAGAAGGGTGTCCAGCCACACATTCCCTGCCAAGTAACCTCATCTCTAGGGACATAGGCGAAAATTGGGGAGGTGGGTGGGTGGAAAGTGATTATAATGACAAGTGCTTCCAACACGTGCCACTGCATGCAACGTGCAAAGGGAAGCACTAACTCCAGTGAGCCTCGTCTGACCCACAGGATGTGAACAAAGACATATTCATGAAAGCCACCCAAAAATTATGCAACTACAGCCTAGCATGTGCCTCCTACTACATCATCAGCACAGAGTACCATAAAACAAGAGTTCTACTCCAGAACGTCCCGTGCTCCAAGAAGAGTTATTTTAAAGAGCATTACAAGCAAAACAAACTCAAAAAAACAAAAAAGACAATTTGGAAAACCACTCCCTATCATGATTCAAACAAAACGTCACTCGTTTGCAGCTGTGATCATGTCTACAGCTGCTTGCTTTACCAACACAACAGTTTACAACCAATTGAGCTGCCAGAATCAAGCAATAGTTTATGTAATAAATTTAGTTGATTTTGTGGATTTTTTATATATTTGTATGCATTTCGAGTATTTGTATGTGTGTTTGTTAAGGTTTGATTGTATATGTGAAGCACCATGACAGTCTGAACTAATTTCCCCAAGGGTATTAATAAAGCTCTAAACTAACTCAACAGGCCATGGGATCCCTTTGGCTAGAGCTTTAACCCTACATACATATATATATATATATATATATATATATATATATATATATCAGCGCAGACATTCCTCCCCTCCGGAGATGGAGGTGGTTTTTAATAGCTGATAAATGAGCGCTGATAGTGAACCGAGAGCTTGTATTACTAATGCAATAGCTAATCTAAGCACCCAGGGACGCTGGGAGCTAGAGATCTTGCAAAGATACATGCTACATACACACCTAGACTGCTGGCACTGAGGAGGCAGGCGCTGGAACATATGTAGACACACACAAAAATGCACTATGAACAGGATACTTAGGTGCAATGTATTCATTCAACAAACCCTAGAACACACACAAGCACATCAAGCACCATAATGGAATATATACAGACACACATACATATACATACACACACAATAAAACATTAAAAAAAAATACACCATGTGGTAACCATTATCACTCTACTGTTTCAAAATTTAGTCTATTTAGTCCAGAATATCAAAGTGCCTGGCTGGTTTCTGATGTTGGATTCTGGACAACAGCGGACAAATTGCACGTGCCTCATTTTCTTGCACCTTTCAGGCTCCAACCCCATTTTTTCCCTTTGCAGAGTTTGGCCTTACCCCAAATGTAATCATGTTGCATATAATTTCCCTAATAATCTGCTCATGCATGCCCAAATGCACCTGCAAAATGCATTGCATGTTTTTAAAAATGAATGAAAAATAAAACCAATGACTGGTTCAGGGCATCTTGCAATACAAATGCAACAGGTTAATCGTAATGAACCTTGTCCTAACCTACAACTCTACAAAAATCTTTTTAAGATTACATTACAATCCTAATTTTACAAGAACTACTGTAGAAATGCATGACATTCTGAAACACAAACAGGTGCATCACAAAAAACACACTGATCACCAAAAGACATGAGTGCCCCATACTGCAGTATGCGGCACCGTGGTGCTGAACTTGCCTCTGACTCTTTGTGCTGAGCTGCATGCGAGGAGGAGAATTCCTGCAAGCGTCAGAAGGAAGCCCAAGTGAAGGACAGTGCTGCCTGCCATGGTGCTCTGCTCCAATCGAGAAGGGATGCTGCCCGATTTCTCTAAGACTGTTGCTGCTGGTGCTAGTGTCAAGTCAGGACTTCTTGAGCTCACCGTGTGCCTCTGCTGAGTGATAGACAGTGCGAGGAGTCCTCCAGGATGTATAGTGACCAGGGAGGGAGGAGATTGCTGATGCATGCCTCAATCACACCCACCCTCACCGATCCACATACACACACTCACACAGACACACACACATTTGTGGGGGGTGAGCATGGTTTTCATTTACTGGTCTTGCTCGACCAAACGCTCTCTCACATTTTCTTCCATCAAGGATTTTTCTTTTGTGTTTGTGGGTGTGCAAGTCTGTGCTTGTGTCAGAGTGTTCCCTCCAAAATTTGATTGGACCTAGTACACAGACTTGGGGCACCCCTACAATGGCAAACAGCCCAAAGGGAGTCTGAGTTCCAAGAGGACAATGACCGATAAAGTACATAAGCAGGACATTAAATGGACAGGAAGATGGCATAAACTTCCCTTCCTCCAGTGATATTACTATGTGCATTGTGTACTATGTGCATTATTTAATATTTATATGCTGCTGTCATTCCTTTTAGTGCTATATTCTTTTAAATGAACACTGTTGCAATTTTTATTATATATATATTTTATACTGATTTTATGGTACGTGTTTAGTTTAGTGCAGTATTTATGAGCCAGTGGAACGTAATTTCGTTCATATGTGCATTCTGTATGTACAGTTGAATGACAATAAAAAGCTACCTACCTACCTATATAACCTGGTGCAAATATAGTATCCCTCTATTTCATCATCACAGCAGCACTTGTCTATCTGTGCCCATTGCTAACCACTGTACATTACGTCTTGTCTAGAAGGGTGTCCAGCCACACATTCCCTGCCAAGTAACCTCATCTCTAGGGACATAGGCGAAAATTGGGGAGGTGGGTGGGTGGAAAGTGATTATAATGACAAGTGCTTCCAACACGTGCCACTGCATGCAACGTGCAAAGGGAAGCACTAACTCCAGTGAGCCTCGTCTGACCCACAGGATGTGAACAAAGACATATTCATGAAAGCCACCCAAAAATTATGCAACTACAGCCTAGCATGTGCCTCCTACTACATCATCAGCACAGAGTACCATAAAACAAGAGTTCTACTCCAGAACGTCCCGTGCTCCAAGAAGAGTTATTTTAAAGAGCATTACAAGCAAAACAAACTCAAAAAAACAAAAAAGACAATTTGGAAAACCACTCCCTATCATGATTCAAACAAAACGTCACTCGTTTGCAGCTGTGATCATGTCTACAGCTGCTTGCTTTACCAACACAACAGTTTACAACCAATTGAGCTGCCAGAATCAAGCAATAGTTTATGTAATAAATTTAGTTGATTTTGTGGATTTTTTATATATTTGTATGCATTTCGAGTATTTGTATGTGTGTTTGTTAAGGTTTGATTGTATATGTGAAGCACCATGACAGTCTGAACTAATTTCCCCAAGGGTATTAATAAAGCTCTAAACTAACTCAACAGGCCATGGGATCCCTTTGGCTAGAGCTTTAACCCTACATACATATATATATATATATATATATATATATATATATATATATATTTGTGGGGGGTGAGCATGGCTTTCATTTACTGGTCTCACTCAGCCACACAGCTCTCTCACTTTTTCTTCCATCAAGTATTTTTTCCCTGCAGCTTGTGTGTTTGTGTGTGTGCAAGTCTGTGCTTATGTCAGAGTGTTCTCTCTAAAATTTGATTGGACCTAGTACACGGACTTGGGGCACCCCTACAATGGCAAACAGCCCAAAGGGAGTCTGAGTTCCAGGAGGACAATAAATTATAAAGTATATGAGCAGGACATCAGATGGACAGGAAGATGGCATAAACTTCCCTTCCTCCAGTAATATGACCTGGTGCAAATATAGTATCCCTCTATTTCATCATCACGGACAGAAGCACTTGTCTATCTGTGCCCATTGCTAACAACTGTACATTACGTCTTGTCTAGAAGGGTGTCCAGCCACACATTCTCTGCCAAGTAACGTCTCCTCTAGGTACATAGGCGGAAATTAGGGAGGTGGGGGCTGGTAGATAGGTGGAAAATGATTATAACGACAAGTGCTTCCAACACGTGCCACTGCATGCGACGTGCAAAGGGAAGCACTTGCTCCAGTGAGCCTCATCTGGCCCACAGGATGTGAACAAAGACATTCATGAATCAAGCCGCCCAAAAATTATGCAACTACAGCCTAGCATGTGTCTCCTACTACATCATCAGCACAGAGCACCATGAAACAAGAGCTCTACTCCAGAACGTCCCGTGCTCCGAGAAGAGTTATTTTAAAGAGCATTGCAAGCAAAACAAACCAAAAAGAAAAAAGAACAATTTGGAAAACCACTCCCTATCATGACTCAAACAAAACGTCACTCGTTTGCAGCTGTGATCATGTCTACAGCTGCTTGCTATACCAACACAACAGTTTACAACCAAGTGAGTTGCCAGAATCAACTCAACAGGCCATGCGATGCCTTTGGCTAGAGCTTTAACCCTATGTATGTATATATAAATAAATATGGTTTCTACACCTGGTACCACTCTGAGTCTCTGTGATTGCCTTGTAAACTCTTAAT